CAACGACAAGCACGACATCCAACGACGGCCTTCGTCTTCAATGGCAGGGGTGTAATGTTGGTCGTTCGGTGGTGTAAGGTAGCGATGAAGGAATGGTGGCAGCTGAAGGTACAAGGGTGGCGGTTGAATCTCTCCTAGGATTAGGGTTTGGGGTTACCTTTTAAATGAAGGAACAAGAGGATGAGTTTAATCCACCATCTCCTCCAATTCAAACTTTTGAACATTTTAATAACTTCAGTCCCTCCTTCCTCATTCTTTTTTCAAACTAAGCCCATATTTTACTCTTTAGCCTTTGCTTCCAAAAAGCTATTCAATACAAGTTCATACGATACCGTTTAACCCTCAACATCTAGAAAATATAACTTTTAACTCCTATGGCTAACACTGATAATTTATTACGGAGTTAGGGATAAAATAAAATAATAAGAAAATATATAAAATACATCTCGGGGTTTTAAGGTTTATTATTTATTTAATTTAATTTAATTTAATTTTATTTAAACGTAATGTTACAACATACATGCATATCAGTAAGTGTCACAAAGACCACTACTATCCTACAACATATTCCAGTAGGTCAACATAGACACCTTCAACCCACAAGTATAGTGAGGAGACTCATCTCATAGTCTGAAAGAATAGTTGCACCAATTAGTGCTCCAAAATCTATCTCTACTGTTTACTTATACAATTAATAGGGACGTAAATCTCAACTACTATTCAAATTACCCAAATTGCCCTTAGGTCAAACTTGGTCAATTTCCTGGTAGTCAAACGTCAAAGGAGGTTAACACAGACTAAGTACACCCAACTTACTTAGTCACTACGCTCAATGTAGTAGGTCCCTTCATGATTACGGGGCTCCAGCTTGGTAAACTTGGTGTACTACCAGGTACGCTCAGTGTACTCGATGAGATCCAATTACCTTCATCAACTACTTATAATAAGGTCACAAACTTTCAATATCTGAACTTTATGCACTAAAGTGATCAAAAAGCTCATAAAACCCAAAACTAGCTAGATCTAACAATGCATCATCAAGATTCAAGCTTTATACCTTCTGGAGTTGAGAAAAGCGATGTAGGCTCTGGATCCAGAAGCTTGAGATTCAACAATCAATAAGCTTGAACTTCTCTTTCATCCAAGATACACTCAAAACACATATAAAGGCTCAAGATTTGATCTAGGGGGTTAAGGCTTTGAGTTGGATGCTGATGTTAGGAAGGATCCCGCTAGGGGTTAGAGACCTTAAATAAGGCTCAAAACCATGAAAATAGGGTTTTTACTCTGCGGTGCTACGACTAGCATACCAAAAGTTACGCCCAACGTAATGTCCTAAAAATGTATTTCTTCATCCTAGTAGGCCCAGTTTACTAGCTAGTGTACGCCCATCGTACTGCCAAACTCCCTTTTTCCAGCTTAACTTCAAATAGCCATAACTTCTTCGTTTCAACTTCGTTTTCGATGCTCTTGATATCCATGGAAAGGTATCGACGAGCTCTACAATTCTATCTTGATACTTGTGACTAAAAACATCTCAAACTAAAGTTCTTAACTTATGCATGAAGCCCGGAACATAACCTTTCCCATGTTACCCCTTAGTTTCCATCGAACAATCGAAGGTTTAAATCATATATCCAACATCATATATCTTTAATAGTGTCTAAACTCCATTTCATTAAAGCCAAAGACCTTTATATCATCCATTTATTTTCCACAATCCTAAAATAAAAACTTTCTCGAAATAGGATGTTACACCCTGAAGATGTCTTCTTTTTCTCTGACTCTATCAAGGCCGGAAAGGAATGTTTCAACAGATTTGAAGGTTTTGGTTATAAGGTTGATTTTCATATTTGAGTTTGACGTTTGATTCTAATTTGTTTTCTAGATTTTCTTTGAAGGTTTGATTTCAATTTTATTTCTATGTTTTATTTTGGTTTGATTTTCATTTGGATTTGAAGTTAATGGCTAGTGGTGGTGGTTGTTGGAGGTGGACAGTGGTGTAAGTGGTTAGTGTTGGTGGTTACCAAATGTGGACCAAAGTAAATGGTAGTGTTTGTCGAGTCCTTGAACAACAAGGGGTAGTGTTGGTCGGAGACAAAGACCTGTGATTTTGTTCGGAAGCTATGACCGGTTGGTACTGATATTAGAGATGGTGGTCTTACATAATTTCATATAAGTCTAAATAAATAATAAATAATGTTGGATGTTTTTATTTTAATTAATTATAAATAATAAATAAGTAATCAAATAAAAAACAACCAAGGGATTTATAGTCATTTCAGGTCTCAACGTGAAATAAAACCAAGCCACGATAGTTAAGAAAATATTAAGAAACAAATATCTGAATTATCCCAAATTATAGAGTCAATTAATTTACTCTTTAGTTTATAACCAAACGAAGTTATGCGGGTTAAAAAAAGTGAAAAACCCAGGACAAAACTGCAAAAATGGTCCCTATGGTTTCTCATTTTAAGTGGTTGTGGTTCAAACGTTTGAAAAGTTACAGATTTTGTCATTTTCAATAAGTTTTGTTGTGGTTTTGGTCCCTCATTCGTCAAGTTCCTTAAAATGACAATTTTACCCTCATGGACCATTTTCATAGTTTTGTCTTTTACTATACTATAAGGACCATTTTTGCATATATTCTTTTTTATGTTAATAAATTATTATATATTAATAGATATTATTTTTAATATATAATATTATATATTAATAAATATTTTTTATTGGATTATTAATTTATTTTAGTTTATTTAAAAAAAATTATTGGAGTAATTCTTTGTTATTAAATTATTATATATCAATGCATATAGTTTTTAATATATAATATTTATATCATAATATAAATTATATTATTGGATTATTAATTTTTTTTTAGTTAATTTTTGTAATTTTTATGGTATTATCACTTTTAATTTATTATTTTCTTCATACACTAAATATTTTTTTATTGGATTATTAATTTATTTTAGTTAATTATTATTTTTAAATTTTTTTTGTCGAAGTAATTCTTTTTTTTGAATTATTATATATTAGTATATATAGTTTTTAATATATAATATTTATTTCATAATAAATATTATATTATGTGATTATTACATATTATGAAACATTGTTTTATTGGATTATTAATTTCTTTTAGTTGATTCTTTTTATAATTTCTTTTTGTTGGAGCAATTTTTTTATTAGATTATTATATATCAACAAATATTATTTTTAATATATAATATTTACATCATAATAAATAATACATTATTGGATTATTAATTTTTGTAATTTATTTTTTTGAATTATTAATTTATTGAAATATTTCTTTTAATTTATTATTTTTTAATATAATAAATATTATCTTATTGAATTATTATTTTATTTTGAAACGTATACTATTAATTGTTTTTAATTTTATTAGTTTCACCACAAAGTCACCGAAATATGTAAAAATGTTGATTATCATTGTCAAAAATTAGCAGAATCACCTCCAAACACCTTCATCGGAGGTTCAATAGATACCATACCCTATTCCACTCAGCGTTGTTGGTAGCCATATGCGACAACCTCTTCATAATCTACTGAAATCCTTCATATCCTACACAATATGCAACAAACACCGATAACATTTATAAGTGGTGGTGGTGACCGAGTGATAGTGGTGTATTTTCCCAATGGTTTCTCATTATAAGTTAGATGAAATGAAAGTGTTTGGCAACTATTCTAACAATTTCGATGATGAGAGACCACAATTTTGCGTATCCCATGACTTTGTGGTGGAACCAATAAAATTAACAATAACTATTATTATAATCCTATAAAATAATATTTAGTATATGAAGAAAATAATAAATTAAAAGTAATAATCCAACAAAAAATAGTTTAAAAAAATAGAAATTACAAAAATTAAGTAAAATATAATAATAATCCAATAATAATATTTTTATTATGATATAAATATTATATATTAAAAACTATATGTATTGGTATAACAATTCAATAAAAAATAATTACTTCGACAACCTTTTAAAAAAAAGAATTAACTAAAATAAATTAATAATCCAATAAAACAATATTTAGTTAATGAAGAAAATAATAAATTAAAAAAAATAAAAGAAATAATCCAATAAAAATAATTTTAAAAAAAAAGAATTAAAAATATTAACTAAAAGAAATTAACAATCCAATAATATAATATTTATTATGATATAAATATTATATATTAAAAACTATATGTATTGACTCAATAAAAAGAATTACTCTAACAAAAAAATTAAAAAAATCAACTATAATAAATTAATAATCCAATAAAACAATATTTATTAATATATAATATTATATATTAAAAATAATATTTATTGATATATAATATTTCAATAAAATAAAAAAAGAATGTATGCAAAAATGATCCTTATGGTATGGTAAAAGATAAAACTGCAAAAACGGTATCTAAGGGTAAAATTGTCATTTTAAAAAAGTTAACAGCCAACCAGTTAAACTTAACGGATGAGGGATCAAAACCATAGTAAAACTTGTTAAAAAGGACCAAATCTGCAACTTTTCAAACATTTAGATCATAACCACACAAAATAAAAAACCACAGGGAGCATTTTTGCAATTTTGTCAAAACCCAGCCTTGGTCCTTGAGTGTTTGGTATTGTTGGGTTACCACTTCAAAGGGCTAATCCGATTATCCGAGCATTCACCTATTAGGCTTATAGTTAAACTTGGCCTAGGCTATGGGCTATGGCATATGGATCGGATGAGAATTAAGAAGAAAATGAAACAAGACAAAAACACCTAAATTCTAAAAGGCTAAATCAGTGAAAATAACAGAAGCGTATCCGACAACGATGGCATATAAACCATAATAGCCCTTTAAATAAAAAGGTTAATTTGAAGGTTAAACTCCATGGGTCTTGGTTATGGTTGTTTTTCAAGATTCCGGTTATTCAATTTCATTTTTTTACTTCATGGATTAAACGAAATGGAACAACATAAGATACATACTAGCTCTCAATCTCTCATCTATTATACAAGACTTAAATTGTATACTCAAACCAATTTATTACAATATAAAACGTCACACTTGAAAAAAAAAAAAACACTCAAAATCAACGGATACATGTAAAAACATATGTTACCTAAAATTTATTTCAGTTAAAACACTCGGAATCTATTTCAACCAACTCTTAACCTCCTTCAACCGACTCAAAATCTCAGATTGAAAGGAGATCTTTTCTTATAATGGTCGATTTGGTGTTTGAATCACCTTCTTCAACACAAATTGAACTTTTAAATCATTATTGACAAAATATATACAACAAAGATGATGATGATGAAATTGTTACAATTTAATCCATTCAAAACCATCAATGAAGGTAAGTGAAAGAAAAGGTTTAGCTTCTTCATCAGTAAGCTCTCTTGACCATGACACTCTCCCTGCAAATGTTGCCCCTGGCCCACTACATTTGTATTGCCCATAGTACACAGTCCTGTAATGTAATACAAGTTTTAAAAATCACTAAAATATGATTGTATAAATGATTAATTGATTATATTAGGTTAATCAAGATTAACATTATCCAACAATTTTGTTGGGATGCAAAACCAAATTAGTAGTTGCACGCGTGCTTATTGCTATGGGGTAGTCACTATCCACATGCTAAAAAACAAAGCTAAAACGAAGGTGGCATTTCGTCGAACACGTAGAATCCATACACAAAAAAAAAAGGAAATGAACCACCGCCCTTTTCAATAATACCCAATTACCCACTGCAAAGGCAACGTAACCTATGGGAATGGGATCCTTACTTTTTGCATATAATTCAACAAAACAAATCTACAAGCTATAAAAAAAAACAAAAAGGTGGCATTTCGTCGAACACGTAGAGCGCATAAAGAAAGAAAAAGGTAAGGTAACAGACCACCGCCCTTTCCAATACCCAATTACCCACTGCAAAAGACACTGTAATTGTAGCCTAACAATTTGGTGCGTGTATACCACATATTTTATAATACTCATAAAGCAATACCCACCAAAAATGATCGAACATTATCGCTTCTATCCATCTTTCTGGGGTCCTATGTCTGCACGATTATATACAGAGACAGAGGGAGAGAGAAAGAGAGTGGGGGACTTACATTTCACGATTAGGGTCACCCCAATTGTACCAGCCTTTAGGAATAATGATGTTGTCCATATACGTATATGCAAAGACGACCCTAGAGAAGGGACCCCATGCCCTCCCTAGGTAAAGGGCACCCGACCCGGTCACCTTACATCTCAAGAAGGAGAACCCTGTGTCTTCTAGCAAACTGCTTCTTCCTTGTGCTGTTACTGCACCTGTTACTGGTGCTATCGCATGGACTTGACACCCCTGTTATCATTACCTCCAAAATTACAATATTGCCCTTTTCATAACATAAACATAGGCTATGAATTTTTTTAGAGGAAATTATGTAATGTGTGTTCTTATGTTAAATCTTTTGAGTAATTTTATTAAGGGTACTCGCAAATGCATTAGCTTTTCAAATAATTCAACTTACTTTGTTAATAATTTAATATATGATGAAATACCATTTTATATAAAATTTAGGCATTTAGGGGCTATTAGAAAAATATATGTCTAGTGTGGTCCATATATGGGTCCGAAGTAGCAAAAGGAACCAGACGACTTCAATTTGGACTAAAAGGAGTTGTGCTTTTGTTGGTTTTGGTTGTTTGAACTTGAAAGACAAAAGGTAATATAACTTTTTATAAAGAATCCAAAATCATAAAAGAGAAATAAAACTTATATCAATTGATAATAAGAAAGTTTAGAAAAAATAAAAAAATCAAATGTTTGGAAAACACAACTATAGTATTTGACAAAAAAAAAAATATATATATGGATATAACACAAACCTCGAAAAGAGAAAGACCATTGCCAAAAATGAAGTCAACAGAGCCTTCAATATAACAATCCTTGTAATAATGTCTACCCAAGTGATCATAAAGTGTGTCTTGTGCACCCAAAAATCTACAACCTACGAACGCGGCTGTGTCTGCTGATATTCTAAACGCCACTGCTTGTTTTCCTATGGCTCCTGGTTTTGGCACCGGTGTCGTGTTCTGTGTGCATTACATACTTGTACATTTAACCAATGGAAACTTAACCTATATATTTAAAATTTGAGTAAATTACACGAATGGTCCTTATGGTTTGGGGTAATTTACGTGTTTGGTCCATAAGTTATTTTTTTAACTCAGAAGATCCATAATATTTGTTTTTGTTGCGCGTTTGGTTTCTGTCTTACTTAAAAAACTATTTTGTCATAGGTTTTTTAAATTTATTTAAATAAACATATCTTCAACCCCATACCTACGTCACTTTCTCTTATCTAAAAAGACTATTTTAATTTATTTATATAATGACATAATAGTCCTTTTAGGTAAGACAATGACCAAACGCGTAACACAAACAAACACTAGGAACTTTCCGACTTAAAAAAATAAGTTAGAGACCAAACACATAAATTACACTAAACCATAGGAACCATTCGTGGAATTTACTTTTAAAATTTTGTATCATTTTATATAATAATGTTTAAATGTTTAATGAATATGTATTTTTATTACCTGAAATGTGATGTTTTTGGCAATGAAATAGGGGGAATTGACAGCAAAAGTGGCTGAGCCAAACGTGCCAACAGCTTGACCTTTGGTGCCGATGGTCTGAGCCGTATCACCCCATTGCACAACGGTTTTTTCAGCACCTTCACCTTCTACTGTTATGAAGGATTTTAGCGGAGGTATATTTACCTTCTCCCTATATAAGAAAAACAAAAAAATATATATATATAATAATTAAATATTTGTTACTAAATTATGTGAGGCCAAAAAAATCATATAATTTGTAGAGAAAAAAGGTTGTTTTCATATAATTTAACGGTAATGGTTTACTATCGACAGAGAGAATATTATATCAGGGAAAAAATAATGAGAAAAAGGTACAAGATAAAAGTTTGACTAAATGCTTTATTATTTTAAGAAAGTATTTTTGTTTTAGTAGTCGATAATGTTAAACTATTTTATACGTGGGTTTAAGTTTAAGCACCGAAAAACAAGAAAAAAATATGAAGAAAAGGAGTTTAAACCTCTTTTTTCTTTGTGATTTATATAAGATATACCACATGCAAAAAAAAACATCAATATAAAAATTGAGGAATTTGATGCATGGGATTATTTTAATTTTCTTTTCTTTGTTGTGGTTGACCACAAAAGACAATCAACGAGCCATTAAGGAAACGAATTATAATATGTTATTTTATTTTTTTATATTACAATATGTCAATATTATATATTTAGTTTTTTGTTTTAGTGTAACATAATTTGAAATTTTATCCAATAATTATATGTATTTTTAGTTTTTTTAATCAGTTTGAAAGTTCTACTAAAACTAAACAGAAAAAAAAAAAGTATTTTCGTATTTTGGGTGGCCTTATTATAATAAAATGTATATTTTAAAGAATGAAATGTTGTAAAAGGAAGAATGATGTTTTAATAAACAACCCATTATTATTTTCTGTATTTAACCCAAAATTAAAATAACTAAAACTACTCGTTTGCTCTTAAAATTTTATAAATTGTAATATGCATGTAATTATTAAGATACAAAGTATGCATCACAGAATATAAAAATCAAGAATCTTCAAATTCCAGACTTCATCTTATAGTCTATTTGTAAACGTAATAATGAAAACCCCATAATTTTAAAATAAGAATTTGACCAAATTAAACAATAAACACCCTCAAAAGTTATCATATTTTGTCTTTATAAAACTTCTGCATGAACTACAAAATTCCCATAATTCACAGAAAAAAAAAAGACCAAAATATCAATGTTCGAAATTTGCGTGTTCTTTCACAATCCACCACATCTTGGACAAAATTTTTTTGTCCATTCATTAAAAAATACCTTGATAATGTACGGTTTTAGATAGATATGAACTTATATCCAAGAAAAATTAAACCTTTTACACCAACCCAATCTTCCCACTAAAAATACAGATCAAACTCAAAATCTTTAGAGAACATTAACACCATGAAACAAATTAAAACAACTTACTTGTAAACTCCTGCATGAACTTTGATAACAACTCTAACAAGATTCACAAAAGGGAGAGAATCAATAGCTTGTTGAATGGTGGTGAAATCTCCTCTTGCTGGATTCTTGTCAACAGTGATCATATAAGAAGGGAAAAGCTTGTTCTTAGCAGTGGAAAAAAGGGAATGCTTTAAACTTCCAACAAAATTAACCCATTTCATAAACTGTTGTTCTGAGTATTGGGTTTGTGTTAAATTTGCCCCTAATTGCTTCCATGTGTTTCTTTTTGGTTGCAAGCCTTTTGTATGACAAAGTGTTTGTGTAATAGCATTAAGAACAAGTAGAAGAATGAAAAGAGACCAAATGTACCCAAATTTGGCCATCAAAATGTGTAAGTAAGTGGAAATGGGTATGAAAAACAAGAGAGAAGTGAAATTTGGTTTGGGTATGTGGTGAAGTGTTCTGTGTGCATTTATTGAACTAGTCATGAAATATAATATTGTTAAAAATGGGCAAAAGTGCATAACTTGCAAACCAATGTTTTTATATGCGTATGTATATTATTTTTCTTATAACAAATTTCGATATCGAAGACATGTGTATGTGGAGCCCATCGCCGTGTAAGTGTGATGATAGTTCATTTGAAATTAGTTTTTTTAATGGATTTGATTGGTAGATAACTGTTTTTTTATTATTAGCAACAATGACATATTTTTTAGTATATTGTGTAACATATAAATTGTTATGTATGATTCAAAAAAATTGTTAGTATATGAAGATGGGATAACAAAGGCCAACAACATAGGCACAACCTTGTAAAAGCTCTTAATTAGTAGTTAGATTCTAGAAATTAAGAATAATTTTAGGCCATCATTATTTTCACTAATATAGTATCATGATTTCTAATGAATATGTTAGTTTTTATCTAGGTGATTTGAAAATATAAGAAATTTAAGGCTCATGCTACAAATCTAAATGCTAATTCTCATTCGGTGCTAGCTTACGAGGTACAATCTCTTTCAATTCTTTGCATTAACACGAGGAAACGGAAATGGCTAAATCTGAGGTGGTTCGATTGGAACAAAGATCTAATTCTAGAATGATATAGCAGACTTTAGTTTTCTTTTGTTCTGTTTGTTTTTTTTTCTCTCTTTTCTATTTTGTATTTCTAACCCTTGATTAGTCTTGTTTTTGTGTTTAATGCCAACTTACCGTTAAAAAAATGATTTCTAACGAATAAGTGTGCAAGTTAAATAACCGACTTCAATAAAAAAAGCTATTACATTACATTAATGATTCAAAAAAAAAAACGTTGTATTTCCAAGATACGAGAAAATATTAATTATGATAGACAAAACAAAAATTAAAAGAAAAAGATTACAGATAATTTAGTCAAAAAAAAATGAATAAACATAAAAGTAAATAGGTATTTGAATACAATGGCAAATTTGAAGTGAAATTATTAGTTTTGTAGTTTTTGCCAAATCGAATTTTGTTCTTAATCATCTCATTTAATAAGACTTAAACAATCACAATTTGAAAAACAGGCAGTAAAATGTTACAATAAACTTGATTTTTACATATAAAATATTAAATTAGAAAATTTTAATTGTAATCATTTTCTTATATCTAATTGTTTTAATTAAAAAATGATCACTTTAGAATTTAGAAGTCACTAAACTTAGAATGTGAGTCACGGGCGCTACCACTGACATTTATGCAATCACAGGGGTGAATTTTAGGCCACAAGTACAACTACTCATCAATGCACTTTTCCCACTATTTGCTTTACTACACATTAATTTTTTTACATAAAACCATTGGGCATCTTTTCGGGTTTCATTAGTTACTAATAATTTTTTAGAGGATATTAACTAAAATAATTATTGATTAAGTTGATATTAAAAAGACTATTTATTTAAAATAAAATGACCAATTAATTCGAAAAGGGTTATTATTAGATAATATCTTGTGTATTAAGTTATATGTATCAACTCCTTTTTATAGGAGTATATTGTTGTACTATTTGATTATATATAATGAATACAACACACAATTAGATGTGTGGTTAATTCAATATCTCTTATATGGTATCATCCTTAAAACTCTTCTCCCTTCCTTAAACCCTAAAAACACCACTATCATTTTCTTTCTTCCTTGTACCTCGTCATGGTGGCTTCTTCTTCTTGTACCAACAACATATTTATGATGAATACCCTTCTTCACTTGATTCCAATCAAGTTGGGTTCTACAAACTATTTGTTATGGAAGAATCAAATGCTTCATCTTATTTCTTATCAAAAACTTAGCAATCATAATGATGGTACTCCTGCACCACCAAAGGAGATCGTTACTGAAGACAAATCGATTCCTAAGCCGGTTTTTGAAAACTAGACCATTAAATACCAACAAGTAGTCATTCTTGTTAATTTTTCTTTAACTGAGGAAGCTGCAACTAAGATCTTAGGCCTCTCTACTGCTCGCGACATCTGGGTTGCATTAGAGTCGGCCTATAACAACTCATCTGTTGAAAGAATCCACTCTTTGTGTGACTATCTTTGTCAAATTACTAAAGGTACTTCTATAGTCTTTGATTATGATCGACACTTCAAAATTATTTATGATAAACTCGTCGCCATTGGACAACTTGTAGAAGAGATGGACAAACTTCATTGGTTTCTTTGCGGTCTAGTCCCATCATTTGAGACTTTCTCCATTAACATTCGCACCACCAAGCGACCACCTGCTTATCATGATCTTCTCTCTTAGACAGAAAGTCATGAGATGTTTCTTCAATCCCTTCATGGATCTTCTACTCCTTCTGCTGCCTTCTACTCTCAACCACAATCACATGGGCGGTTTCTCAGATTAAATCGTGGTCGGTAGCAAAAAAAATTCTCGATAAGGGAACCGAGGTGAAAATTCATACAAGGACAGGGGACATGGAGATAAGCATCCACTCCACTGCCAACTCTATCGCACAAATGGTCATTATGCCTCATCATGTCCCTCACGTCACACATATGCATCGAATGTCTCCATCATTGATGCAAACCTTGTTGGATTAAGTGTCTAAACTATAATTGGTATGTACTTGAATTGATAGTAGCATGGTCCTTTTGGGTTGCCTTCACATGTGCAACTAGACAGTATGATTAACTGAGGAAGATGAATAATTTATTAATTTGATTAATAAATTATAACAAATGATTTATTAATATGTTATGGAAATAATATATTAATTTGTAATCATATTATTGATTAATATTTAATCAAAAATTAATTTGGAATTAATTGTGGGATTAAAGAAATTAATTAAAAGTTTAGGGACTAAAAGTGTAATTGTTCAATAGTTGAACAAAAGAGTCTAGAACCTTCTTAGGGGAAGGGTGGATAAAATTGATGTATTTGAGTAAGATTATTCTAGAGTTTCTCGAATATCTTATTACATATGGATAATCAAATGAGGTGGATAATGATCATATTGGAGATAATGATATTTTATACAAATTAGGGTTATCCATAACATCATTGGTGCACTATAAATAGGGTCTCTAACCCTATGATTTTCAGCCACTTTTTGGAAGAAGCCAGAACCAAAACTTTGATACTTTCCTCCTCTCTCATATCATTCTCTTGTATTGTGTGTTTGTGAGCCATTAGAGGCGTTACACTTGTGACACTAAGTTCTCAAATTTCAAGATCTACAAGGGGACTATTGTTATTACAATATAACAATCATAAAATGCAATTAAACCCTAGTTTTAGATAGATTTCAAAAATTGTAGTTGCTATCTAGGGTTTCTCCTTTTGTGTTCAAGTTTTCATGTTCAATTAGAGAAAACCTAGATCCAAAGCATTAGGGTTGCATGCACACATAGGAATTGTTGTTATGCTCCAAACCCATCAGTGGTATTAGAGCCTAGGATTAGTTTTCTATTGAATATGATGCAAATGTAAAGTCTTCAAAAGAGAAGGGAATAAAATAGACATTCTGTTCATCGAACTCGCCGAGTTGGTTTATGAACTCGATGAGTTGGCATGCAACTCAACATGTTTGTTGCCCAACTCGACGAGTTGCACTATCATATTTTACATTTTCGGTTTTGATAATTGTCTCATGGATTGATTAAAATAACTACCTTAAATTCGTTTTAATTGTTTAAAATTAGATATTTTAATTAGTAATTTTGTATCATTATCATTAATTCATGATCAGGTTAAAAATTTTGATAAAGATAAAATTAATTTGTTAATTTAGTTATTAAAAAAATTTACCTAGTATTTTTGAAAAGTTTTAAAAAACATCATTGGTTTTAAAATTTAAATTAAATAGTTTAATTTTGAATTTTTTAAATTTAGAACCCTAGTATTTTAAATGTTTAAAATACACCCTTATATATATATATATATATATATATATATATATATATATATATATATATATATATATATATATATATATAAAGAAAAGTTAGTCTTACTGTTAGTTGGCTTCATTCATGAAGCTGGTCTATAAGGGGAGTTTAAGGAAGCGACATATAAAATGACCGCCATTGGGTATCTACTCTTACTCACCGCTCTCTTGACTTGTAACAACCCAATTTTTACAAAGAAAATTTTCATTTTTCAAAAATCAAACCATTTGCATAAACCATAAATTTCCAAAAACATCTGTTTTCAAATTCACGTTTTTACATCATTATCTTCTTCTAAAACATCAGAGTGTCCAGAAACACATTAACAAAGGAGAGATAGAGTGCACGCCGCGTCATCACGCCTTGACCTTGCCCTTGGACTCAGATGTACATGAATCAAATTCACAAACGGTAAGCTTGAAAGTTTGGTTAGTTCCCCAGAGCACACCCATATACAATCATGTATAGGATATCATACTAGCTAAACAGCTATCCAAGACACATAAACCATATATGCAAATCTCATAAGGAAGCCCTAGAAACCCACCCTCCAAGGTCTTACTCCGGGTGCCATGGGAACCCCCACATGGTCTTAGTCCAGTGCCTCGGGAACCCCCTTGAAGTCTTTGACCTAGGATGCCAAGGAAACCCTCTCGGGTCTTACACCTAAGTGCCTTGGGAACCCCCCAAGGTCTTATACACAAACATAATCACATAGCACAGCAAAACACAAAATGTCTAACACATGTATCATTATCGTAGAATGGGTCGGCCTTGGTGCCTTAGACCCATTGGTATGGTGAGGAGACTCACCTCAATCTACTGAATACAAACACTACCCTCCTAACAGTCTGTAATCCACCGAGCTGGACAATAATAATGGTAACATAATCAATATTAGAACTTTAAATTAACCAAGGGGAAACCAACCTCCAAACCCCCAAGGCCTAAATACCCTTTTCTTACTAATGGTCCCCTAAGTCTTAGTCCAATATCCTTAATGGACCTCTTGGCCTAATAAGGCCCAACCATTGCATCCATGGCCCATACAGATGAAGAAGTCCATAATTCACATAATACAATCAAGCCCTATACCCAAATGAG